TGTGTGTGTGTGTGTGAGTGAGTGAGTGAGAGTGTGAGTGAGTGAGTGAGTGTGTGAGTGAGTGTGTGTGTGAGTGAGTGAGTGAGTGAGTGTGAGAGTGAGTGCATGAGGTTGTGTATGTGTGTTATATGTGTGTGTGAGTGAGTGAGTGAGTGTGAGAGTGAGTATGAGTGTGAGTGCATGAGGTTGTGTATGTGTGTTATATGTGTGTGTGTGAGTGTATGTGTGTGTGTGTGAGTGAGTGAGTGAGTGAGAGTATGAGTGTGTGTGAGTGTGAGTGTGTGTATGAGTATGAGTGTGAGTGTGTTATATGTGTGCACGAGTGAGTGAGTGTGTGTGTGCGTGCATGAGGTTGTGTGTATGTGAGAGTGAGTGTGAGAGTGAGTATGAGTATGAGTGTGTGTTATATGTGTGCACAAGTGAGTGAGTGTGTGTGTGTGTGCGTGCATGAGGTTGTGTGTATGTGTTATATGTGTGTGTGAGAGTGAGTGTGAGAGTAAGTGTGAGAGTGAGTGTGAGTGCATGAGGTTGTGTGTATGTGTGTTATATGAGTGTGTGTGTGTGTGAGTGAGTGAGTGAGTGAGTGTGTGTGTTGCACCTTGACAGTGGCTCTCAGGATGGGGAACTGCGGCGGGTCTCTGCGGGGCTCGTTGGTCTCCAGCACCTGCTTGATGAACTTCTCGATCTCTCTCTCGCTCATCCCGTACCGGTAACCGGACTGTCGCAGGATGTCGATGCTCTCCGACAGCTTGTCATAGATGCAGGGCTCACTGAGAGACGAGCCCATGATCAGTGTGTGTGTGCTCTTCTGTCTCGCTAGCCTAAATCCCGCGAGAAGCTGCTCGTCTTCATGACTGAGGCTCTGTAACACACCGAGCAAACACCTTCATCTACAGCTCCCCACACACACACGAGCGAGCGAGCGTCTTACCGGCGCGTTGTCGCTGATTCGACGGTGATTTCAGCGGTTTTGTGCGTTATTTCTCTCACGGCTTCACGCTAGCGCTGCGTCCCGGAGCCGCGTGCGTCACTCATCTGTGCGTTCACTAGCGCCGATTCGACACGCTCAGCGCTGTAACAGTAATTTATCAGCGAAATGTTCATTCGTTTTAATTAGATGGTTGATTAAATAAATACTTAGGGTGGTTTTATAGTTTATTCGCTCAAATATGTAGTTGGTAGTTTGTGGATGAAAACAAGCGAAAGTGCCGTTTAAAATGAACAAATAGAATTTTAAACTTCATAAACCTTGACCTAATTAAATATTAGCTCTGAATCAGAAGAGCAGCTTTTATCAGACTGTACAGAAATCTTTTATTTTGGCTACGATACATATCATATATTTTATTTGTACTTAAATCCCTTCATATATGTTGGGTGACTTAATGATGATTAAGTAGACAAATAGTTATTATTTCTATATTTTATAGTAATATATTATACTATAGTTTTATATAATATATGCATTATATTATTTATATTTCTATTATTTTCACAAAACGCTATTTTGTCAATTTCAGTAAAAATACAATTACAAAACAAAACAACTGAATTACTGAATATATTTAAATTACACTTGTAATGCAGAACTAAGATTATTTTTGGAGAGATTTTCATGAATAAAAAATAAGTACCTTACATTTATTTAAAAATAAATATTGGAATTATTATAAAACATGCTATAAAAAAAAAAGACATTCGGTATTATTTATAGATTGCATTTATAGATTTTCAGACTTTGCATTATATGACTTTTATATGCATCAAACAATAAACAGATACATAAAAGACAGGAAAAACAACAAACATCACAGCTTGTAAAGCTTCACATACAAAATGCAATATTTGTATTGTATGAGCTAATAGGAGAAAACCCTATGACGTCACCTGTGCGATGACGTCACAGAACACTGGGCAGTTCGGATCATTTTACCGACTCAGCAAAATGAACGAATCTTTTTCCCGAGTCATTTCGTTCATTGTAGCAAAATATGATTAAAATGTTACGTGTTACTTCCCTAACACGTCTACTACTTACGCTAAACGTTGATCACACTACGAGCAATACAAAACTATAATGCTATAAGAAACAGAAAAGATTAATTAATTGTTTACCTGGGTCTTCAGTCTATGATTAGCTCACGGCTCAGACTGCATTGGTTAAGCTTATGGGGCTGTCACGTGATGAAGGAACGACTCAAACCCGAAGACTCGAAACATGGGGTACGTTCAAGCTCAAACCGGTGCGCAACGTTTTGCTACGGTTTCCGGGTTGAACGACATGTTTCCTGGAAAGATGCGTTTTCTCTTGTTTGGTGGGTGTGTCACATGTCAGCCAATCAGCAGCGACATGTGTATAAACCACGCACAGCTGCACAATGTAATTAACATCCAAATAAATTCACAAGAGCAAGTATATTGTTTGCACATGTTTATTTACATTAAAGGCAATGAAATAATAAGAGCACAAGTATAGATCTGGAACTTCTTTAAGTCTGTCTAAATATCATTTAGTGATTGCAATGTCTTCTATTGTGTACTAAATACTGATTAATGTAACATAACAATACTTTACATATTTTGCTGTTGTATTATGGAGTGACACTTTCATAAACATTTCTATACCACTCTGATTATATCATAGCACAACAACAGTGATCATCAGTAATGATAAGCCGAATACTCACAGTAAAAATAATAAGGTCATATAGATCCTAACACAGTCTCGGAGGTAAGAAGTGGATTATCCTTCACCTGAAGTGTTTGTCTTTTCATCCTGAAATGCGAGGCAAATGTTGGATCACAATAATTAGGAACCACAGTTTCCACTCGATTGGGATGTGCTCTTTTATTCTGCAGTGACTGTAACATCGAGCGTATTTTGCAGTATTAAACACGTATTTATACCGATTTCATCAGGCTCCGAAATTTCTTCAGAAAGAGCACAAACTCTTGCGTCATCAGAACAGTGTTGAACGCACCACCGTTTCCGTTTAAAACACGTTTTGCACCGTTTTGTCGGGGCTGAACGCAGCCCTGGTGAACTACTTGATTAATTCCAGGACAGAACCTATAGGATGCTGCGCATGCGCGACTAAACGAATCACTCCCCGAGATGACTCGTTCTTCCCGAGTCACATTAAAGATTCGTTCAAAATGAACGAATCGTTCAAGAACGACCCATCACTAGCGCGCATGCCCGTGTCCCGCATTGTTAGGATCAGCTGGATGTGAAACCCCACCCAATGAGGAAGAACGAGCCGCGAGCAGCAGCAGCAGAACCGGACCGAGCTCGAGCCCGCACCATGATCGCGCTATCCCCGAGATGACTCGTCCTTCCCGAGTCACATTAAAGATTCGTTCAAAATGAACGAATCGTTCAAGAACGACCCATCACTAGCGCGCATGCCCGTGTCCCGCATTGTTAGGATCAGCTGGATGTGAAACCCCACCCAATGAGGAAGAACGAGCCGCGAGCAGCAGCAGCAGAACCGGACCGAGCTCGAGCCCGCACCATGATCGCGCTATTCAACAAGCTGCTGGACTGGTTCAAGGCGCTCTTCTGGAAGGAGGAGATGGAGCTGACGCTGGTCGGCCTGCAGTACTCGGGGAAAACCACCTTCGTCAACGTGATCGCGGTAATCAAGCCTCTCCTGCCTCTCGCTGTGCTACAGGCCTCGCTCGAGTAACGGGTCGCGTGACTGGTTACAGAGAGATCGGACACGATGTGTGTCAGACCCGAACCATCAGTGTAGCAGATCAGATACAATGTGTCCGATTCAGCATCCTTAGATGCAATGTATCAGATACAGTATGAGCAGATACATTGTGTGCACCATTAGATCAGATACAAGATTTATTAGATATAATGTGTCACATAGAGAATCATCATATCAGACACAGTATAGAAGATAAAACGACATCAGACGCGGTGTGTCAGATTCAGCATCTTTAGATCAGATACAACATTCTTTGATATAATGTATCAGATACAATGTATCATTATATACAGTGTGTCAGATTCAGCATGGCTAGATACTGTGTATCATACAGAGTACTCAGATCGGACTCGATGTATCAGAGTTTAGAACTGGATCAGATACAGCATCAGACTCAAAACAGAAGATACAGCTTCAGCATCATCAGATACATTGTGTGCATCATTAGATCAGATAGAATAGATCGGACACTCTAGAGAAGAAGCATCGCATCAGACACAATGTGTCCGATTCAGCATCATTAGGGCAGATAAAATACATATGATACAACATCATTCGATACAGTGTATCGCATACAGAATATCAGACACATTGTGTCGCATAATGCACTGTTAGATTAAAAACAATAAAGCAGACACAATATAGAAGATAGAGCATCATAATGTGTCAGATTCTGCATCATTAGATCAGATTCAACATTATTAGATATAATGTGTCACACAACATCATCAGATCAAATCAGATACTATGTATCGTATATCTAATTAGATACAATGATTCAGATACAGTATCATCAGATCCATCACAAATCAGACACAAGCTGTCGTAAACTGAATTATTACATTTGTTCATTTAGCCGACACAATGTGTCACATACAGTACCATCACAGATACAACATTGTTAGATATAATGTATCAGATCAGATATAGCACTATCAGATAGGGCTGCACGATTAATCGATTGTCATGCGCATTTTGTTAGTAAAGCCGGTTCTGTAATTAGCAGTAAATCATCATCTCGTGCTTTCAGATGGAGCAGCATTTACTACACATAGCCGTAGTTCACTGACAAGTTACGCAAAAAAAATCGCAGACGATTTTATTGCACGATTATGAAATCGTTGGCGATAATGACAGCTGTTTGCATAGCTTCTCAGTGAACTATGGCTCTGTGTAGTAAATGCTGCTCCATCTGAAAGCATGTGAAAATACCACATTTAATAAAATTTTTACTCCAAACTCACTTCATAACGTCAGTCGAGTGTTTGAAATAAATCCTTCTGTGAGATGATGTGGCTTCTTACACAGAATAAGACACGCAACATATTTCATAGTATTTAAGCAGTGATAAAGGCATTGCATCATAAATATACTTTATTTTAATGAAAATTATAAGACGAACTCATGTGTTTATTAGTCACGTTGAATCAATGAAAGCAGTTGAATCTTCTGTTTATTCAGCTGCAGCGATAGGCATTTTCTGGGTTTCTTCTGCGAGGCGTATTTGGAGTTTCTCTGGCCTTCGGATGGAGATTTACTACTGATCACAGAACCGTGCTTCACTGAAAGATACGCGTGACAATCACAGCTTCTGTCGAATCGTGATCTCGATTCCATTTCGATTTATCGTGCAGCGCTACTATCAGTCACAAAGTATCAAAGACAGCATTATTACGTTCATTCCTTTAGCTGACACATTGTATTATCAGACACGGTGTATCAAATACAGTATCATCGGATCAGACACAGTGTATCAGGTTCAGTTGGGGAGATCCTGTCCAGCATCTGAACTACTTGACAGCTGTCAATCAAAACCCCCCCGTTTCTCAGCCAATCAGCATCTGGCATTCTGTCCATCCAATCATGTGGTCTGCCTGAACAGTGTTTGAGTATTCAACAGCCGACACACACTCGCTCAGGAAGGTCGTCGGTGCATGAATCCAGGCGTTTAGTGGCAGTAAATCACATTAGCAGCCTGCTGTGGAGCTGCAGGGAGGTTTGGTCTGTGATGAAGCAGATTTCAGTCACATCAGGGGGTTAATGTGTAAAACTCTCTGTGTTTGTCTGTCGTCCTGCAGTCGGGTCAGTTCAGCGAGGACATGATCCCTACGGTCGGCTTCAACATGCGCAAGATCACCAAGGGAAACGTCACCATCAAGGTCAGGAGATCTCTGTGTGATTCAGAGCGTCTCTGTTGAGATTACTCCAATCACACTGCAGAACCAAACAAGCATTTTAAATGTTGATAAAAAATATTAACTTAATTTTGACACATTTTAGTGTAGACCGTATTTATCAAGCTCAGCCGTTCAAATAATCAATCAAAACTAAATGTTCTTTTAGTTTATGTGAAGCATAAGTTTATGAATAACTATAAACATTTGAACTTAAATTAGCCAGCTCCTCCTGAGTGAGAGCTTCAGGTCAGCTGAATCGGGAAGCCTCTTATGCATTTATTAAAAAATATTACAAAAGTCATCTTTAAATAAATAAATCAACATTTTTTTGTATTTCACTTTCATATTTGTTTAGTAGTCGTTGCTAGAAAATAGCAAAATCGCATCAGTTTAACGTTGTAACGAGACGTTTCAAATTGCAAATTTAAAAGAATTAATATAAAATAAATAGTTCGTTAAAATATAGCTTTATCTGCAACTGTCTTACCCATTAAAATTCAATCATAAATTGCATAGAATTAAAAACGTGATATTTTTTATGCATTTAAAAATATAAGTTGTCTTTAAAAATTATATGTTTATTTATTTTCATGTTTGTTCAGTAGCTATTGCTAGAAAATAGTGAAATCACAATCAGACGTTTACATGTTTTGTTACAAAAGTCGCAAATTTCATATAAAATAACGAGTAAAATAAAATACTTTTTCTGCACCCGTTAAAATTTAAAACATAAAATGCATTAAATTAAAAAATATTTATTTCAATATATTGAAAATTATATTTTAGTAGTTAATGCTAGAAAATCTCAGCATTGTTTTAATTTGTAATTAGATAGTCAAATATAGTAAAATAAAATAATGCATTATTTACTTAATATAATTGTGTAATAAAAAGACTATAATATATAGTTTCAAATATTTTATGGCTTTTACTTCTAATGATTTCCGCGTGTCTTACACTGTACTGTAGTAAATGAGTGATAGTGTGTGTGTGTGTGTGTGTGTGTGTGTGTGTGTTGTAGCTGTGGGACATCGGCGGTCAGCCGCGCTTCAGGAGCATGTGGGAGCGATACTGTCGCGGCGTCAGCACTATCGTGTGAGTATACTCGTAATCTCAGGTACGTTACCTAAATGCCGTTATGATGTCCTGCGTTCCTAACAGATCGCGTGTGTCGTTCAGGTACATGGTTGATGCGGCGGATCCAGAGAAGATCGAGGCGTCGAAGAACGAACTGCACAACTTATTAGACAAACCGCAGCTGCAGGGAATCCCAGTGAGTCTGCCGTGATCATTTCTGCTTCGTTCATGTGTTTAGAGCATGTTTTTTTGTCTCTATGTGGATATTGGATCATAAAAGTGTCCGTCTTTCCTCAGGTTCTGGTTTTGGGCAATAAGCGAGATCTTCCCGGAGCTCTGGATGAGAAGGAGCTCATCGAGAGAATGTGAGTTCGTCTGTAACAGTTCATAACTAAATCCAAAGCATCTGAGTCTTTGAAGTTTTAATGCAGTCTGGTTCCGATCCGATGACTGGAAACGCTTGTTAAATGTGATCTACAGGAACCTGTCGGCCATCCAGGACCGAGAGATCTGCTGTTACTCCATCTCCTGTAAGGAGAAGGACAACATCGGTAAGACTTCAATGATACTTGATAGATTTTTTTTTCTCAATGATACTCCACTGTTAAAAATATTTAATTACCACCCTAGCATTTAATAAAATCTTCACAGAAGTCACGGCGATGTCTGTTTTGTGAGTGAATCGTTCTTTCGAGACGGTTCTTCTCAATAAATGGTTCACAGACACGCGAGAATGATTCACTAGATTATATCAAAATCTGGATGAGAAGGAGCTCATCGAGAGAATGTGAGTTCGTCTGTAACAGTTCATAACTAAATCCAAAGCATCTGAGTCTTTGAAGTTTTAATGCAGTCTGGTTCCGATCCGATGACTGGAAACGCTTGTTAAATGTGATCTACAGGAACCTGTCGGCCATCCAGGACCGAGAGATCTGCTGTTACTCCATCTCCTGTAAGGAGAAGGACAACATCGGTAAGACTTCAATGACTTCAACTTCTCAATGATACTCCACTGTTAAAAATATTTAATTACCGCCCTAGCATTTAATAAAATCTTCACAGAAGTCACGGCGATGTCTGTTTTGTGAGTGAATCATTCTTTCGAGACGGTTCTTCTCAATAAATGGTTCACAGACACGCGAGAATGATTCACTAGATTATATCAAAATGAGTTTCCGTTCTATTAATTGCAAATCTGCCATCTGTGTTACTGTACCTTTAAGACGTCTCTTAAAATGTCTGTGAGCTCTGTGATTGGCTGACTTCTGTGTGTTGTGGGGAGGTCGGGTTGCTGGATATTGAATAAATGCATATGTTAATGAGCTCATGGTCATGTGTTCCAGACATCACACTACAGTGGCTGATCCAGCACTCGCGGACCCGGCGGAGCTGAGGAGGCGGAGCCAGCGTCTGATTGGAGGAACCGCATCATGTGATCAACTGTATTTTAGGCGCTCTTGATTTCGTTCTAAACAAACAGGCATCCGCCCCTCTCTCTGTGCTTATAAACTAATCCACATCATTTACATCGTTTGAACGTTGATTTTTACTTTTACGTGAATGTGCTTTTATACGGTTTGTCATGAAGTCACATGACACGTTTCGCTCGCGCGCATCGTTCTGCGTGTTTGCTAGGAGATGGGATCAGACCTTGACACGATGCCCACAGCATCTGTCAGAACTAGCGCTCTCTGGTCACATGCTTCGGGGCGTTCGCGCCGCCATCTTGTTTTAACGTTTTTCCAAGATTGTGCGAACATTCCACATGCTCTTTGATCGTTCCCTGGGAGATTCCGTTGATTTACACTGTTGCTTTGCGTTTAGCAAGATGTTAAATCTTACTATCATTAGCCTGTTAGCGTGACCGGGTGCTGGCGTTGACATCATCCCGTAGGCATCAAGGTCACATGGTTTGCGTTAATATTGTAGCATTACGAAATCTTTTAATCTGAAAGCACATTCTGAAGAGTTTAACATGTCCAAATTAAGGTTTTATACGTTTCTTTCGAGTTGCTGTGACTACAGCGTTGTATCGTTGACGTGGGGGGGTTGTCATGGCAACCACATTGTTTGTTTGTTTGTTTTTCGGAACGTCAGTCTGCGAGCGCGTGCAGAGCAACATCAGTGTTTTATTTGATTCTCGACGGGACGCGATACAGTCTCAGGCGACAAATGTTGATCTGTCTCTGTCGGATCCGCAGATCGTTGCGCTAATAAAAACGGCGGAGTTGCGCGAATCTCCTGCTGAGGTCCAGTGTTGTTTCCGAACGCTGTTCCTATCGGGGAGAGACGAAGATCTTGTGATTTTTCTCGCTTTGATTATTTCGTTTACAGCCTGTTTCGTTTTTGTCGCACGTGTGGACGTTTTTGGCTTAAATCATAACGGCTTATAAACGCGTCAGTAGATTATACATATGTAAATTGACATATTTTGGTTGTTTTTGGCATGTTTTTACTCATGTTTTTTCACAGTGTTTTTTTCGACTGGATTATGTAAATAGCAACTTAAACCAAATGAGATCTCCCTCCTGAGCATTACGGTGTTTGTCTTATTGTGATTAGCATCCTATGATAATAATAACGATAATAATAACAAAGAAGACCCCACTCATATCACAGCAATCTGAACAAACAGATTAGGAGATGGGATCAGACCTTGACACGATGCCCACAGCATCTGTCAGAACTAGCGCTCTCTGGTCACATGCTTCGGGGCGTTCGCGCCGCCATCTTGTTTTAACGTTTTTCCAAGATTGTGCGAACATTCCACATGCTCTTTGATCGTTCCCTGGGAGATTCCGTTGATTTACACTGTTGCTTTGCGTTTAGCAAGATGTTAAATCTTACTATCATTAGCCTGTTAGCGTGACCGGGTGCTGGCGTTGACATCATCCCGTAGGCATCAAGGTCACATGGTTTGCGTTAATATTGTAGCATTACGAAATCTTTTAATCTGAAAGCACATTCTGAAGAGTTTAACATGTCCAAATTAAGGTTTTATACGTTTCTTTCGAGTTGCTGTGACTACAGCGTTGTATCGTTGACGTGGGGGGGTTGTCATGGCAACCACATTGTTTGTTTGTTTGTTTTTCGGAACGTCAGTCTGCGAGCGCGTGCAGAGCAACATCAGTGTTTTATTTGATTCTCGACGGGACGCGATACAGTCTCAGGCGACAAATGTTGATCTGTCTCTGTCGGATCCGCAGATCGTTGCGCTAATAAAAACGGCGGAGTTGCGCGAATCTCCTGCTGAGGTCCAGTGTTGTTTCCGAACGCTGTTCCTATCGGGGAGAGACGAAGATCTTGTGATTTTTCTCGCTTTGATTATTTCGTTTACAGCCTGTTTCGTTTTTGTCGCACGTGTGGACGTTTTTGGCTTAAATCATAACGGCTTATAAACGCGTCAGTAGATTATACATATGTAAATTGACATATTTTGGTTGTTTTTGGCATGTTTTTACTCATGTTTTTTCACAGTGTTTTTTTCGACTGGATTATGTAAATAGCAACTTAAACCAAATGAGATCTCCCTCCTGAGCATTACGGTGTTTGTCTTATTGTGATTAGCATCCTATGATAATAATAACGATAATAATAACAAAGAAGACCCCACTCATATCACAGCAATCTGAACAAACAGATTGTGTGTGTGTGTGTGTGTGTGTGTGTGTGTGTGTGTGTGAGCGATGGTGTTTGTGCACGGATGCCGTCATGTAGACTAGAGTAATATTTACTTTATAAATGCCGAAGGTTTATTCTGTTGATTTTTCGCAATTGCTAATCACTTTATATTCATCTTCACTAATGTTTGATTGTCACGAGTTCATCGTCTACACAAGAGTGAACGACGCAATGCGACAAAATGGCGGTAATCAACACTGCTGCACTGGTTACGAAGTCATGTTACAAAGTCGACTTTGATGTTACGAAGTTGTTTGATAGTTACAAAAGGTATTTTTACTACAATTCGACTGTTATCAAAAAGTGCTGCAAACAGCTTTGTTGACAATAGCAGTCGTTACGAAGCCAACTTTTAGTTCTGTACCACTTGCGACAGCATTAGTATAATGAAGCCGACGTAACAAAGTTGATTTTGACCGTAATTTGCGAAGTCAAACTATGAAGTTACATTCATACTTTAAGTTCGTAAATTGTCAAAATCAACTTCATAACAGTCATTTACGAAGTCAACCTAATGAAGTCGACTTCATTGATTATACCCAAGTCTTTTTCGAAGTCAACCTAGTTGCGCGCAAGTTGCGTAACATCAAGTTCGTAAATGACTTTGTTGAAGTTGATTTGCGAAAGTCAAGCTAACCAAGTCAACTTCGTTGATTTTATTGACATCTTTTACGAAGTTATACTAATGAAGTCGTTTTCATAATTCACTTGGATAGCTAAGTGGATTCAAACTGTTACGTGACTTTGTTAGATTCGTAAATTACTTTGTCAAAGTCGACTTATGAAGTCATCCTCAACTTCGTTAATGAAGTATGCAGTGTGTCGTCTTCTGTTTGTGTGTTGATTCAATTATTTTTTTATGTCTAATTACATGTGGCCATAATGTTTCTTTTGATATTTTAATTGTTTGTAGCCGTGCCGCTCTTTTATTTGCTGGGGAATCATGTGATTTCACCCCTGCATGACTCATTATGGGATGGAGCTGGTTGCCGTAGTTACTGTATAATCGGCGTGTGATTGGACCGAGCTTGATTATGTCCCCCCCCCCTCCTCTCTCTCTTTATATGGATCAGACAGTAACTTTTTAAAGCAGTCACATAACAGGTGTTTCTGTACGAGACTCGATCCGTTGAGTTGTTCATTTGGGATCTTTCTATTCTCTCGTGCTCGCGGTGATAACTACATGTCGTTCTTGTCATTTACAGATGATTTAAAAATGAAATTAAATGATTTCCCTCTCAGAACCACGGTGTCTTCTCTCTTTAATGAAGATGTGGTTTTGATTTAAGGTCTAATTCGGTGACACTCTGGACAAATATGTACTTCATGAGATTCATTTTAAAAGAAAGGAGAAAATGTTGCTTTTTTAAGGAACTTCATTAGGAAAGTAAAAAAACAAAGAGTTTAATTTGGTGCTTTTGATGTGAATGTGATGTGAAAAGTAGCATTCAGAATAGTGTGCTACCATACTATATTTTTGTAGTATGTGCTGTGCACCATGTTTAACTTTAGTACTTGCTGAGCGCTTAATGATATGCAAGTATGCGGTATCCCACAATGCAATGTGCTCAACCTACCTTTAAAACATAGTATGCAGTACTGTGCAGTAAACAGTGAGCTTCAGCTTCTCCAGCAGAGGTCAGTAGAGACATACAAATATTTCTCTGATTAATTATTAATAAGATGAAACTCTTCAGCAGAGTTTTTTCTCTTAAGATAGCTAAACGTTTACTGATTTGACTGAAAAATAAAAATACTTATTAAACAGTAATACATGTTAAATTATTATTTGTCCCAAAATAAATGATTATATTAATTGATTTCATATACCGCATAGAAACCGCGCACTACACTAACGTCACACAGTGTTGCCAACTTAGCAATTTTGTTGCTAAATTGAGCAACTTTTTCTTCCAAAAGCACCTAGCAACAAATTTAGCTATTTTTTTTTTATTTATTTGGCAGCTTTTCACAACTTTTCATAAGTGACTAAATGGCACAATTTACCATTAAAATGACACAAAAAGAGGAAACCAAAGATGCCTAGCTGTACACGCGTTACAGGAATTAAGTTAGCTGCTATTTGCAATCGTTTAATGTAATAGTAATAATAATAGTAATTGAATACTGTTATTTTTCATTTATGCAACACTTTGTTAGTAGCTTGTACCTGCAACTGTTGATGAGTTAGTACACTGCACGCGTTACAGGAATTAAGTTAGCTGCTATTTGCAATTGTTTAATGTAATAGTAATAATAATAGTAATTGAATACTGTTATTTTTCATTTATGCAACACTTTGTTAGTAGCTTGTACCTGCAACTGTTGATGAGTTAGTACACTGCAGGAAAAATATGCAGAAAAATGAAAAAGGTGCTAGTAACTTTCCAGGACATTATCCGTTATAACCCGAAAACACAAAATACAATGCGTAATTAAAAATGCAGGTACAAAAACCTGTGGAAAAATAATTCCTTCATATTAACACAGTAGATTGTGCATTATTTTTTACTTTTCTTAGAGTGCAGCAAACTAGCTAACTACTAATAAACCGCTTTAAAGTATAAAACTTAAACTGTTTGATAATTCAATGGATTTAAAAATAGTTTTGTATTTTAATATTATATTATGCATTGTTACGAACAAATCTAAATGAACATATATATAAAATATATTTGAGATTTGACAATGTTGCATCGTGATTACATAATGACGTCACAACTTTTAGCAACAAATCAACCTTCCTTTAGAAACTTCCCCTGAAAATTAGTTGGCAACACTGACGTCACATCAGCGGCTTTCGCGCTCTTTTTATTCAAACGTACACAGACGCTCCCGCGCTCTG